CAGTTCAGGCGTCCTTTTACAGGGAAGCGAACTTCCGTGACCGCAAGTACATCGAGTTTCTACCGACGGGCCGTACAGTCGTACATCATCTAGTATATTTTCGTCAAACAGGGTACGAACGTTACAACATACAACACCGTTCGCTGTGCAACTCATTTTCGCAAGAGCAATAAATTCGCAGCCGCAAGCTAAGAAATCACCCACTGGAGGGAGTGGGTAAATTTTAATCATAAAGTTCAGTCAAACACATGTCCCCCGTTTAGCCGTGTGAACATGTTTTGCTGCAACTAAAGCAGACAGTGTCTTGCTGTGAACAGCACCCAACGGATATGTTATGTTGAAGAGCCACAAGCATCAAAACAAATAAGCATTATCACTTACACAACGTGTTCCAAGGGCATGTGCATCGTCACGTGAGGATGAGGCGGTCCCTGATGCGACAGATGCGGGGGCGTCTGCACCGGAGCGGACAGCATCGGCGGAGTCGGACCACCCGGTTGTACCATGACGTTCGGCGGGGGTCCATGGTAGACGGTGGCCGGAGTTCCGGCATGCGGAGGTCCGCTGACAGGAAGCTGCATAAACGGCCCTGGGCGTGCCTGCTGCCACGCCAATGTGGGATCCGTGTCCAGTGTTTGGTGGCAATGCAGCCAAAAAGCGAACAGTCAGTGTTACTAGCTATATCTATAGCAAAGAGAACGATTATGGAAAATAACAATAAAAGGTTAGTCAAAAAAACAAATAACCAATACATTAAATAGAGGAGATGGCACTGTAACAAAATCGAGTGATGCCAATGCTTATGACGAAAAGAGTTGCGGTGTAAAACGCAAAAAAGCAAACGAACCAGGTCATTAGAGAGCTGTTATAGAGTCTTAACTTAAACCAGAGATACAATAATGTAAACAACTTGATGAGAAATATAAGTTCTTTCTGAAAAACAAAAGTGTAAATGGGTCGTTAAAAACAATAAGAAAAAATAGAACTGAAAAAGACGAAAATGGAAAGAGAAATTGTTTGTACGTATAGAACATATAAACGAAGCAACAGTCGGCAGTTTAGTTGCCAATCTAAATAGTTCGTGCAGTTTTAAGAAGGTAGCAGCATGTTATGTTAACTTCAGAAGAAATACGTAAAGCCAGTTCCTGGTGTTTTTATTTTCCTTCTTCTTCTTTTGTCTCTCTATATCGTTTTTCTCTTCCTTCCATTGCTTCTTCTCTCCTTCTCTTTATGCACCTGCTTATTCTTCATCTTCTTTGACATTCGTCGTTCGATAAACCGTGTTCTCAGAAACAGTTATCATTAAAGCAACTACGAAAATCGTGGCCTTGATTTCATGCAAAATTATTAATATCAAAACAACGAATACTGACTCGGAATGCGCGAACTCCACCATTCTTAAAACTCAACCAATGATGGACTCCGCCTACGGTATGGAAACAAGTACTAGTCTCATCTCTAACTTCAGGAAATCAAAAGTTTCGAAAAACTTAGGTGAACCGGCGTGGTTCTGGCAAAATAATGACAAAGAAACTGCGGGATGAAGTGTTACAGTAACAATGAGGTCGATTTCGAACTCTTGAGGTACAGGATTCGAATCTCGATAAAGACAAACGCTGTCTTAAATGCTCATTCATTCGAGCAACGAATCCACCCCGAGGTACAGTCAGCTGAGAAACGGCTAGCAAGATGACGACCTCTGAATAGAGGCAGCGTCATGTCCCGGAATGGATGGTAACACGATCTGACGAGCGCACCTCATATGGCTGCAATTTGACTCGACCCACCTGTTAGCTGCTTCTTCAAAAGTATCTATCAGTAAAAAGGTGTAATATCTTATTGTTGCCGTTGAAAAATGAAAGTCTGCTAGGCTGGGAAGTCGATCGCTTAGATACGTCGATGACAGTGCTAACGGTGGCAACTTTCTTCATGAAACTTGTGGACTTCGCTGACCTCCTTTTCAATACCATCAACCGGGAAAGCATTATTTAATAAGCAAGTATCTGTAATTATACTGTTAGCATAGCGCCGTCTTTGCCTCCCACCGCGCAGGGCTACTCCAAGAAAATCACAGCTGTTCCTCACAAAACTCAGGAAATCGACAAAACAAATATAACAAATAGAACTCTAAGACTGAACATCCTAGCCTACTCAGCAGATCATCGAAAATCCGAGTAGTCACAATATTATCTCCGCCCCGTTCAATAAGGGTTGTTGCTTTTTCATCGTCATCTGAAGATAACAGAGGTTAAACAGCAAAATATACTAAACTAATGTCTATGAGAGTAACGGCTCTTCGTGACTTGAAAAAAAGGCTGTTCTAAATGAAGTACAAATGCGAACGAATGCAGTATGACAAAAATGGCCTCTATCGTCAGAGGCTGCAAGGCAACATGAAGAACCACATAAACAAAGGAATTCGTCATCTCTTGCTATACAGTATACCAATGCGTAATATCGTCCTCTGTCCAAGGAACAGACGGCATGACAGCATATCTTCGCATCGCGCCCTGTCTTTCATAACTGTGATGGTTCTGTGGTGGACTCATTACCCTCCCCCCCCCCGCAGAACAATCTGGTTGATAACATCAACCAAGGGTGAGCGGGCTGTTTCCTTAGGTGCATCGCCTCCAACCGGAGCATTCCGGCGTTGTATGTACGGAAAAAAACACAACCAGGATGAAACGGTTACAATTTTGAAAACTGATTTTCCCACTGAACCTGTCTTCTCGTAAAACATCATTAATTCGCTGGCGCCCACGATCAGGAAGCAACCACCTTCCGCTGGAAACTCTCTGGACCTTTGCATGTATAAAATTTGTATAAAACAGGCCGTCGATGATAGTCGCGAAGGATGTTTTTATGTGTGTTGTTTCATGATCGAAATACCGTAAGCGTAGTGTAGTCACAATATTAATATATACTTCAGTTCAATTTCTGACGTGTCTGCTTTGAGCCTAGGGTAATATCTGATTGGAGTATAATCCATGTATTGCGATGCTCTTTAGCAAATAACAAGATAAAGCCATTGGATTAATTCATCAATAAAAGCGGCCTTCGCTTACTCATCGTTTAACCCCACCTTGAATCACTACGTAAGTACAGACTAATATCCTCTGGGCAAACGCATGAAACGTAGAAAGACAAGACAATTACGTCAGAACTGCTTTTTGAAATGCGACGATCACCAGTTCCAGCTGATTTACAGTGACCGGTCGCATGGCTAAGATGGGAGAACATGAAACAGGCATTGTGAACCGCATTTAGCCAGAAACTGCAGACAGCTGACAAGATTAGTTGTGACAATAAAGGGGAGGCGCGAAATACGTAAGCGTAACTGCGAGAGACTCGAACAGAATCAAACAAATCCGAATCCGACCAACATGGTATCATAATGCTAACTCGAAACAGTACATAAGCGTGGACTGGATAGACTCTGCAAGGGCCATCCGGACAAAGGCGACCTTGCAGACATAGAGATCAAAAAAGACTTTGACAATGCCTGAGCATAAACCATTTACTCAAGTCCATGAGATTCTCGAACAGCAGAAACACAGCATGCATGAATCAAGAACTATCAGCAACAGGAAGAACGAAGAACAAGATCGATGCAGATATGGTTCTAGAGAACAATATTTAATGAGGTTGAGTATTTTATTAGTGCATATTTGTCTGAAGAACGCCGGTGAAAACTGGTCGAAGCGTCGCCATTGATCAATTACCTGATTATCCAACATATTTGTTTACGTCGTGTATAAATAAACCGTTTTTATACATTTTTTAGTTTTCCGTAATACTTCCCTTCACAACACCGTAATCGATGCTCTAAAGTAGGTTTTGAAAACGTGCGAAGGCATCACAAACTAGGCACGCTCTGCATTGCAAATGGCTCAAGGTAGTCACCTCAACAAATGCAGGTGTCCGTATGTATAACCTCATATTCGTGTTTCAGTGACAACTGATAAATTCATTCGGTGAAAACCCTGCATGGTGCAGGTGTCCAACGAATGCCACTGATATTGAGAGAGATCTTGAACAGAACCGATGGGCCTGAGGAAATTTTATCATTCCTTACTCTGTTGTACTTCAGGTACATCACTAGCTTTAATATCAGTCTTTTTATGCTTTCATGGGATCAGTTCCCCGGATTAATTAATCATAACCACATTGCCCTGTTATTCTCAGTTTTAAGCGTTATCTTTGAACACATATTTTGTCATCCACCACGCGAATCAAAGCGCACCGGTCATAAAATGAACACATCAGATGGCATGACCCTGAATCCCCCCCCCACTCTCG